GGACATTTTAATTTTTAATTTTCTGTTCCTTTCTGTGTATGCATGAATTTCATCTTACGACACTTACTATGCTGAGCTATTGTAGGTGCTCAGTAAATTACACGTTAAGAAAATGGAAATAGGCTTTGCTCTACTATGGTTTTAATGTTATCTGAATGTATGTCCCAGATATGCAGATGAGTAACTGGGGGAGCTCTGGGGTTGTAGTCACCACCAGCAACATCAATGCCATCCCCATATAACAGTCAGTGGGTGTGCACTAGTATGCGCCAGACACTTTTAACATATTTTTTCATTACCTAATTACATCAGATACATTAAGCAGGTCTTATTATAAGCCCCATTTCAGAAATGAAGAAACTGAGGCTTAGAGAGCCAAGTGGCTTGGCTAAAGTCAAACAGTTAATAAGTGGGGGAGCCAGGTAGGAACCTAGGCAGAAGGCTCCAAAGTTCATGTGCTCACTGTAATGCTGAAGCACCGCTAAAATAGAACCATTTAATATTTACAGAACTCTAAGGCCAGAGAGCGTGGGGAGGACCGCACGTTTTCTTTCAGAGTCCCACCGAATGTCATTTATGCATTTCTTGGTCAGATGTTCATTGAGGGTCAAGCACTGTGATGCCCAGAGGAGATACGGAGATTGACCTTATAGCTTAGAGCAGTGAAAAATCTGGGGAAGTTATAAAACACCATTGGAGAAAAATTCACAAAGGCACAACTTTGCGTACATTTACAAGTATTTTTTAGGGGAGGGGCTGGGAGCTACAGGTTTAGAGCTTCTGGGAGAGGTGCCATGTGTTAAAACAAAACAAAACCTATGTAGACATTTCATAAAAATCCTGGGGTCGTAGGAGGGGAGGATTTAGTAATTGCTTGGAGAAGTCAGGAAAATGAATTTTGGGGTGCTGTACAGTGAACAGACTGAAATCTACCTACAAGGTCCCATCTCACCTAAAACCTAATAGCTTTACATTTTAATCATTCCATCTAAAGATGACCATCAAGATTTCTCATTCGACAGTTTCTGATCCTGATTTTCATAAGAGGATGAAATATTTCTATGATTTTATTTTTATCTCTGCTATCCAGAAAACACCGTGTGTTGCTCTCAGCATTCCATTTTTTATGGTACTCCTCATTGTGACTCTGTGGTTCTGTGTCTTTCTGTGTGTGTGTACAGGGAGAAGAGAGAGAGAGAGAAGCTTAGTCAATACATAAGCACAAAAATTTACTCATAATTAGGAGCCTGGTTAATAGAAGCACTTAGATTTTCTGGACCTCTTGGGTCAGTTCCTTAAAATCTCTGAGCTTCAGTTTCTTCATCTAGACAAGAATACCTGTTTCTTAGAGTTATTATAAAGATTAAGATAATGTTTTTTTTAAAAGTGTCAGTGTTTTTATCAGGCACATTTTAAATGCTTAATGAATATTAATTTCTTCTCTGGTGTCCTCCCCTCATCTTGTTTTTTTCATATGCGATTTGTAAAAGGAAACAATGTTGGTAACCCTGGTCCACAGGGAAGAAAAGGAAAAGTAATGGCATATTCCTCTAAAACTCCTTGGAGAATGGTTCTCTGAAAATCACCTTGTATTTCTGTTTGGATATGTGCCTTTTATGTTAGCATTACTTGAGGTGAGGCTACCAAAAATTTCTATAATTAAAATAAATGAACTGGCATAATAGTTTGCCACGTAATGCTTTTTAAAAACATGATTTTACTTGGTGCCTATATCTTGAATCCTGGCTTTTTTTGATCTCCTGAAATATGTAAAGAGTTCTGCAGTAGAGTCCTCTTCTTCAATACAATACCATTTATTTCTTCAGATAGTTAAGAGACGATGAAAATGAGGCACTGTCCTAGGTGCTGAAGGGACTGTCAGGATTTAGAAGAGCTGCAGATTCAGGATAAGACTAGGTAATGGTGAGTGATGATTTTTAAATGCACATGTATGTACAGGCAATAAATGTTCTAAAGATTATCCTGTACCTCTGACAATGAATGATATACACTCCTTAAATTTTCCTCTTGAAAATTGAAGAAGACAATATAAACCATATATTAATTTCCAGTAGACTATAAAGGTCCATATTAATGCACAAGACTATCATTATCTTAATTTCCAAGATGTTCTTCAGGGATAAAATGAGGATATCTATAAGGTGTGAGTGTTTTTGTTCTCTGCTTATTTGTAACATTAATAATAAAGAAGTTTTATATGTTCTGTAAACAGTGGCTTCCGAAAAAATACAGAGCTTTCAGCTTTTTCCAGATGGCTGGTTGTTATTGAAAGGTTTTCTGAGGAGTGTTAATTTGCTATTCACTCTTATTCACTCAATATGTTCTAATCTCACTATTTATCAGGAATTCTCTTCTTTCAAGAATTCTGACTCTTAGTCATTTGGATATTCTTGAATGGCAGAAAACAGGATGTAACATTCTCCTGTGTGGGATGGGAGAGAAGAAAGTGAGTCCCAGATACTTAGAGAGAAGAAGAATGCTGAGAATTCTCTGACATTCTTCCTGGTCAATGCCTAATACAGTTGAATGACTTTACCCTTTGGGAAACGGGAATACAATAGGAGACTTGCCAGCAGGATTATGTATCTAGGGTGGGCCTTGATCACAGAGGCCAAGATGTCCAAAACGGGCAAATGAGGATTGAAATTGTGTGTTCAATTTTTCTGCAGGCTGTAATGGAAAAGGGGGAATGACTTAAGTGCCTCTTGGGAATAAGTGTCTTCCTCACTCTGTGCAGACGTTTAGGGAGTATTGCAAGCTGTGAGCTTCTCTGAGCACATCTTGCCTCTTGCTTTCGCCTTGCTGAGCCCCTTTCCTCTATTGCTCCGTCCTTCCAGCTGCTTCTGTGAACTCTCCTCTGCCGTGTCTCATCCCCCATGGCTGCTCAAATGTGATTCCCCTAAGCCTCTCTTCCTGTCCAGCTGCATCTGTTCACCTCCCCTGCTGATCGATCCACTTCTTTAGCTCAGGGACAGCAAGAGGAAATGATTCCAGCAGCTAAACAGCTTTTATGCAGAGAGAATATTTAAATATTCTCAGTTTGCCTGATTCCCCTTCACCTCATGCTATGATCAGAGGTTAATGGAGACAGTTTGGAGCTTCTCTCTGTTGGTAGAAACCAGAAGACTTTTAGAAACAAAGGCCAAGATCTTGCAATACCCCCCTCCTCAAAAAAAATATACATTTATATAGGAGGGTAGGGGGAATATTTTTCTTCATCAAACTCATTCTTTTTTAGATAGTAGTCCCATGTTCCAATTCTCCCTCCCACCCCTAAAAAAGACTCTGGACAAGACTGCAGCCAAATTAGAAGCTGTAATTAATTTTTATCATTTTTAGTAGATGAAATTTTTAAATGACTGTTGTATTCTAAGTATTTATATCACTAATATTATCTTTTGATATATAAAGTATATTTTACACTGCTATTTAGTGAATATCTGATTTTTTGGTTTTTTTCCTGAGATAGTTTATTTGGGCAAATTTAAGCTGTGACGCGTGGTACAAAACGATCTGCCAAGGCCCAGTGATTGCAAAGATTCAGTGTAGCAAAAGCCTAGCATAGTGCCTGACCCATAATGCCAAATCAACCCTTACTTACATAGATACATACATATCTATATAAATATCTGTATGAATATATGTATTTATTTTAATTAACTATGTATTGTCTCCGTATGTTGCTATGCCAGTTTACTTAGACATTTCCTTATTCTTAGACAATTATCTGATTTCAATTTTTCTGTGTTTACCTCCCTTCTCTTCTCTTCCTTGCTGTCTTCCTTCCTCCCTCTTGTTTCTTTTTTTATTTGAAAATTTATTTCCCACTTTTGTTCCTTTCTTATGTCTTTCTTCCATCCTTTATTTTTTTTCCTTTTCTTATTGCTCTGAGGAGTATTGAGAACATCTTGTATACATTTTTCTTTTTCTTTTTTGTAATTTTCTGTTGTGATATAATTTTCCCAAATAAAATTTCTATGTCAAGAGTCTGAATAATGCCTCTCTAGATTGTTTTCTCCAATATTGGCCCATATTTTCATAGTAAACGTACATCCTTATGTATGCCAGGTTCCCCATGGTCCTGCCAACATTAGGTTTTCTTATCTTTGTGTGTTCAGTAAATTTTAATGGTATTTTTAAAGGTCTTTTGTTCTGTTAGTAAGGCTATAAATTTTCTATCTTAATTTTCTATTTAGATGTTGTATATGTAAACTCCTCATGTTCTTTTTTTATTATACCTTAAGTTCTGGGATACATGTGCAGAATGTGCAGGTTTGTTGCATAGGTATACACGTGCCATGATGGTTTGCTGCACCTATCAACCCATCATCTATATTAAGTATTTGTCCTAATGCTCTCCCTCCCCTAACCCCCACCCCCTGACAGACCACTGTGTGTGATGTTCCCCTCCCTGTGTCCATGTGTTCTCATTGTTCAACTCCCACTTATGAGTGATTACATAAAGTATTTTTGGTTTCTGTTCCTGTGTTAGTTTGATAAGAATGATGGTTTCCAGCTTAATCCATGTCCCTGCAAAGGACATGAACTCATTCTTTTTTATGGCTGTATAGTATTCCATGGTGTATATGTGCCACATTTTCTTTATCCAGTCTATCATTGATGGGCATTTGGGTAGTTCTAAGTCTTTGTTATTTTGAATAGTTCTGCAATAAACATATGTCTGCATGTGTCTTTATAGTAGAATGATTTATAATCCTTTGGATATATACCCAGTAATGGGATTGCTGGGTCAAATGGTATTTCTAGTTCTAGATCCTTAAGGAATAACCACACTGCCTTCCACAATGGTTGAACTAATTTTCACTCCCACCAACAGTGTGAAAGCATTCCTGTTTCTCCACATCCTCTCCAGCATCTGTTGTTTCTTGACTGTTTCATGATCGCCGTTCTAACTGGCATGAGATGATATCTCACTGTGCTTTTGATTTGCATTTCTCTAATCACCAGTGATGATGAACTTTTTTTCATAAGTTTGTTGGCCACATAGATGTCTTCTTTTGAGAAGTGTCTGGTCATATCCTTTGCACACTTTTTGATGGGGTTGTTTGTTTTCTTCTTGTAAATTTGTTTAAGTTCTTTGTAGATTCTGAGTATTAGCTCTTCGTCAGATGTATAGATAGCAAAAATTTTCTCCCATTCTGCATGTTGTCACTCTGATGATAGTTTCTTTTGCTGTGCAGAAGAAGCCCTTTAGTTTAATTAGATCCCATTTGTCAATTTTGGCTTTTGTTGCCATTGCCTTTGGCATTTTAGTCATGAAGTCTTTGTCCATGCCTATGTCCTGAATGGTATTGCCTAGGTTTTCTTCTAGGGTTTTTATGATTTAGGTCTTACATTTAAGTCTTTAATCCATCTTGAATTAATTTTGTATTAGGTGTAAGGAAGGGGTCCAGTTTCAGTTTTCTACTTATGGCTAGCCAGTTTTCCCAACACCATTTATTAAATAGGGAATCCTTTCCCCATTGCTTGTTTTTGTCAGGTTTGTCAAAGATAAGATGGTTGTAGATGTGTGGCATTATTGCTGAGGAACCCTAACCCTGTTCTGCTCTGATCTGAGTTATTTCTTGTCTTCTGCTAGGTTTTGAATTTGCTTGCTCTTGCTTCTCTAGTTCTTTTCATTGTGATGTTAGGGTGTTGAATTTAGATCTTTCCTGCTTTATTCTGTGGGTATTTAGTGCTATAAATTTCCCTCTAAACACTGCTTTGGCTGTGTCCTAGAGATTCTGGTATATTGTATCTTTGCTTGCATTGGTTTCAAAGAACTTATTTATTTCTGCCCTTATTTTGTTATTTACCCAGTAGTCATTCAAGAACAAGTCGTTCAATTTTCATGTAGTTGTGCAGTTTTGAGTGAGTTTCTTAATCCTGAGTTCTAATTTGATTGCACTGTGGTCTGAGAGACTATTTGTTATGATTTCCATTCTTTTGCATTTGCTGAGGAGTGTTTTACTTCCAATTATGTGATCAATTTTAGAATAAGTGTGATGTGGTGCTGAGAAGAATGTATATTCTGTTGATTTGGAGAGTTCTGTAAATGTCTATTAGGTCTGCTTGGTCCAGAGCTAAGTTCAAGTCCTGAATATCCTTGTTAATTTTCCGTCTCATTGATCTGTCTAATATTGACAGTGGGATGTTAAAATCTCCCACTATTATTGTGTGGAAGTCTAGGTCTCGTTGTAGGTCTCTAAGAACTTGTTTTATGAATCTGGGTGCTCCTGCATTGGGTGCATATATATTTAGCATAGTTAGCTCTTCTTGTTGCATTGGTCCCTTTACCATAATCTAATGCCCTTCTTTGTCTCTTTTGACTTTTGTTGGTTTAAAGTCTGTTTAATCAGAGGCTAGGATTGTATCCCCTGCTTTTTCTGCTTTACATTTGCTTGGTATATGTTCCTCCTTTCCTTTAGTTTGAGCCTATGTGTGTCTTTGTATGTGAAATGGGTCCATGGTTACAGCACACTGATGTGTCTTGACTCTTTATCCTATTTGCCAGTCTGTGTCTTTTCATTAGGGCATTTAGTCCATTTACATTTAAGGTTAATGTTGTTATCTGTGAATTTGATCCTGCCATTATGATGCTAGCTGGTTGTTTTCCCTGTTAGTTGATGCAGTTTTTTCCTAGCATCGATGGTCTTTGCAATTTCATATGTTTCTTCAGTGGTTGGTATCGGTTTTTCCTTTCCATGTTTAGTGCTTCCTTCAGGAGCTCTTCTTGTAAGGCAGGCCTGGTGGTGACAGAATCTCTCAGCATTTGCTTGTCTGTAAAGGATTTTATTTCTCCTTCGTTTATGAAGCTTAGTTTGGCTGGTTATGAAATTCTGGGTTGAAACTTCTTTAAGAATGTTGAATATTGCCCCTACTCTCTTCTGGCTTGTAGGGTTTCTGCAGAAAGATCCACTGTTACTCTGATGGGATTCCCTTTGTGGGTAAGCTGACCTTTCTCCCTGACTGCCCTTAACATTTTTTCCTTTATTTCAATTTTGGTGAGTCTGACAATTATGTCTTTTGGGGTTGCTCCTCTCAAGGATTATCTTTGTGGTATTCTCTGTATTTCCTGAATTTGAGTGTTGGCCTGTCTTGCTAGGTTGGGGAAGTTCTTCTGGTTAATATCCTGAAGAGTGTTTTCCAATTTAATTTCATTCTCCCTATTACTTTTAGGTACACCAATCAAACATAGATTTGGTGTTTATATAGTCCCATATTTCCTGGAGACTTTGTTCATTTCTTTTCATTCTTTTTTCTCTAATCTTGTCTTCATACTTTATTTCATTAAGTTGATCTTCATTCTCTAATGTCCTTTCTTCCACTTGATTGATTTGGCTGTTAATACTTGTGTATGCTTCACGAAGTTCCCATGCTGTGTTTTTCATCTCCATCAAGTTATTTGTGTTCTTTTCTAAACTGGTTATTCCAGTTAGCAATTCCTCTAACCTTTTTTCAAAGGTCTTAGCTTCCTTGCATTGGGTTATAACATGCTCCTTTAGCTCAGAGAGTTTGTTATTACCCATCATCTTCTGTCAATTCATCAATCTAATTCTCAGTCCAGTTTTGTTCGCCTTGCTTATAAGGAATTATGTTCCTTTGGAGGAGAAGAGGCATTCTGGTTTTTGGAATTTTCAGCCTTTTTGCACTGGCTTTTCCTCATCTTTGTGGATTTATCTACCTTTGGTCTTTGATGTTGGTGACCTATGGATGTGGTTTTGCGTGGATGCCCTTTTGGTTGATGTTGATGCTATTCCTTTCTGTTTGTTAGTTTTCCTTTTAACAGTCAGGCCCCTCTGCTGCTTGTCTGCTGGAGTTTGCTGGAGGTGTACTCCAGACATGTTTGCCTGGGTATCACCAGCAGAGGCTTCAAAACAGCAAAGATTGCTGCCTTTTCCTTTCTCTGGAAGCTTTGTCTCAGAGGGGCACCTGCCAGATGCAGCCGGAGCTCTCCTGTATGAGGTGTCTGTGGACCCCTGCTGGGAGGTATCCCTCAGTCAGGAAGCATGGGGGTCAGGGACCCACTTGAGGAGGCAGTCTGTCCCTTAGCAGAGCTCAAGCACTATCCTGGGAGATCCACTGCTCTCTTCAGAGCTGGCAGGCAGGACTATTTAAATCTGCTGAAGCTGCACCCACCGCTGCCCTTCCCCCCAGGTGCTCTGTCCCAGGGAGATGGGAATTTGATCTATAAGCCCCTGACTGGGGTTGCTGCCTTTCTTTCAGAGATGCCCTGCCCAGGGAGGAGGAATCTAGAGAGGCCGTCTGGATACAGTGGCTTTGCTGAGCTGTGGTCTGCTCTGCCCAGTCTGAATTTCCCAGAGGCTTTGTTTACAGTGTGATGGGAAAACCACCTACTCAAGCCTCCACAATGGTGGACGCCCCTCTGCGCACCAAGCTCAAGTGTCCCAGGTTGACTTCAGACTGCTGTGCTGGCAGTGAGAATTTCAAACCAGTTGGTCTTAGCTTGCTGGGATCTGTGGGGTTGGGATCCACTGAGCTAGAAAACTTGGCTCCCTGGCTTTAGCTCCCTTTCCAGGTGAGTGAATGGTTCTGTCTTGCTGGCATTCTAGGTGCCACTGGGGTATGAAAAAAACCTCCTGCATTGGCTTGGTGTCTGCCCAAATGGCTGCCAATTTTGTGCTTTAAACCCAGGGCCCTGGTGGTGGAGGCACCAAAGGGAATCTCCTGGTCTGCAGGTTGTGAAGACTGTGGAAAAGCGTAGTATCTGGGTTCTAAACTGCCTGTCATCTTCTTCTTCTCAGCAAAATCTGGGTGAGGTATAATATAATCCTTTCAACATATTACACATTTTGAGTAGTAACTCAACCATTAAATATTAGTTTAGTGACTATTTTGTGCTAGGTATTGTTCTGGAAATCATTGGAAAGTGAGGATACAGAGATTGATAGCATAGTCCCTGGCTTCAAGGAGGTTCGAGAAGTTTGTCTAGTAAAAGGTGACAGGTGTATAAACAAAATGAATTACAGTGTTAATAGGTTATAGAGTTCAGTGTAGCCACATGGGAAATGGAATAATTAATCAAACTAGGGTGCAATAAAAGCTTTTATTATTGAGGATCCTAGAGGAAATATTTACCAGTTACATTTGTCACTTGTTTTCTTTCTGATTCCCTTGGATCTCTGTATCTTTTGATTGTTCACCAAAGCAACTTCATTGTTTCCATTTGATTATAACACCATGGGCATTTATGACTCAGTGGTATATCACAAAATGTGTGTGTGCAACACTGCATCAAGGTACATATTACCATGATGTGCTTTATAGGACTCAAGGTGAAAATAGAATATGATTAATGCTGAAAAAGACATGGTGGATCTGTGGTTTATTTGTTATTTTTAGTTTCCAGTTAGTGATTATGCACAGTCTCAAGTTTGAGGTTGATTCCCTCATGCCCAGCCACCAGAACCCTTATACCCGTCTGTCAGAGTGCGTGGAATGATCTCCTGGGAGGGCATCTTGGGGAGCATAGTGAACTCTGAAATGTCCTTTTCCCTTGCTCCTGAGGATTCATCAAACTGTATAAACCCTGATCTTGCTGACATCAGGATCTTAGGCTCTTTCTTCTAAATGATAGTAGTACAAAAACTCCCTGGGTTATGGAAAACAGAGTTTATCTAGTTTTATCTTCTGCTATTCCTTTTGAGGTTGGACATATCGTAGGTATTCAATAACTACTTCAATTCTTGGTTGGTTGGATTTACCACTTTTTGGCAACAGCCAATATGAAAATGTTCAATTTTTTTCTCTCTTTTAATAACCTAGCTTCCCTTCCCATCTTTCTACTTCTCTTCCTTCCATGCTTCTTCTTCTCTTAAATGTGATTATCTTAGTCTGTGAGCTTGAGGGCAGGGATGCTCTTTTGTTCATCTTTAGCCAATGTGTTTAGCACCAGTGCTGGCACGTGGTAGGCCCTCAACATATGCTTGCTGTGTGAATGACGCATGTCCTTCTTGTCTTTGGGATTACC